TCCAACCTTCCTTCCGAGGAGTGGTTGGCGGGTTTGAACCGCTAACCTTCTGGTTAGCAGTCAAGTGCCTTAGGCACTATGCTACCAGATCTCCCCATTAGCCATTAGAGAGATGCAAATCAAAACAATGATGAGATATTATCTCACCCTAGCAATAATAGCAAAGTTCAACAAGACAGAAAATAACAAATGCTGGCGAGGGTGTGGGGAGATTGGAACTCTCATACACTGCTGGTGGTACTGTAAAATGGTGAAACCACTGTAGAAAATGGTATGGTGCTTCCTTAAAAAGTTGGAAAGAGAAATATCATTTGATCCAACCAATAGCAATACTAGGTATATATCCTAAGGAAATAAGAGAGCTAGGGCACAAATAGATAAATGCACATCCATGTTCATCATAGCACTATTCACAATAGAAAAGAGATGGAAACAACTTAAGTGCCTATAACAGATGAATGGATAACCAAAGTATGGTACTTACACACAGTGGAATACTATGTAACTTTAAAGAATAATGAAGAATCCGTGAAGAAAATCAAAGATGCATGGAAAGAATTAGTCCAAGGAATTAGTGGACCATGGGAACCTCCGCCCACACGACCCTGATACCACAAGAACTAAATGCATCCTGGCTATCCCTGACAACCACTATGAAAAGGATCAAAACTGGAGATCTTGTATAGAGTGGGAAGATGTGGAACCAAACTCAAAATCATAAAATGACCAGGATTAGTGGTCTAATAGAGATAAGTGAAACTCCCGAGACCATGGCTCCTAGTCACCTTTCCGGCCTGGAAATGAACTCACGCCTGGTGTCTTCATTTTCAGCCAAATAGTAGCTAGGCCTATGAGGTAAACAATTATACCAGGCACATGCACTCCTTAGAACCATAACTAAGGGAGATCAGAAGGGCTGTATTGTTGTTGTTGTTATGTGCCGTCGAGTCGGACCTGACTCATAGCAACCCCTCCTTGGGTTTCCAAGGCAGTATAACTACAGAAGTAGACTGCCCCATCTTCCTTCCGAGGAATGGCTGGAAGGACTGCATTAGCACAGGAGAAAACTCAGAATGCATGAATGCACAGGAAATAAGAACACAAGGAAAAGGGAACCACAGAGGGGAAGTGGGAAGAGAACTGTTACATTGTAGGGATTGCAATCAGTGTCACAAAACAAAATGTGTATGAACTGTCAAACGTAAAATGAAATTGCTCTGTCAACTTTCATGCAAATCACAATAAAAAGTTAGAAAAAAAAGCTAGAGTGTGTTTCTGGACTCTGTATTTTATGTATTTCTCCATTCCTGGGCCAATACTATACTTTTAAAATTACTAAAACTTTGTAATATATCTTTATCTTGTAAACCAAACCAAAACCAAACTCACTGCCATCAAGTCGATTTGACTCATAGCAACCCCTCTTGGGGTTTCCAAGGCAGTATCTCTATGAAAGTAGATTGCCCAATCTTCCTTCCTAGGAGTGGCTGGTGCGTTTGAACTGTCAGCCTTCTGGGTTAGCAGTTAGATGCCTTAGGCACCACGCCACCAGAGCTTCCTCTTTGTCTGGTAAGGCACATTTTCTCTCTCTCTCTCTTTTTACTGTCTTAATTCTGACAACATACCTAATCTATGAATTTTTGTCATCTACTGTATGAACTTAATATATTTTGTTATTTTACAGGGCAAGTTCTTCCTACCCTTTTGTAATTATTTTTCAAAACTGTCCTGGCTATTCCTGAATATTTAGTTAGCACTCAGCTGCTAACCAAAAGATCAGTAGTTCAAATCCACCAGCCACTATGCAGGAGAAAGATGTGACAATCTACTTTTGTAAAGATTTATAGCACTGGAAACCATATGGGGCAGTTCTACTCTGTCCCATAGGTTCACTATGAGTCAGAATCAACTAAATGGTAATGGATTACAGGCATTCTTAAATATCTGTACTTTTTAATGGATTTTTCAATCAGTTTGTCAAGTTCCATAAAAGCTCTTGTTTGTGTATAAACAAGATGTAAAAATCTTAATGGAAGAGAATGATTAATCTGACTAAATTTAAATCATGGCTAAACAAACAACATCATGAACAATGTTAAATGACAAGTGAAATTTGAAAAAATATCTACAACAAAATACATTTAAAATGTTTTGATTCTCATGAATCATCTCACAACATGGATGAGCCTGAAGGACATTATGCTGAGTGAAATAAGTCAATCGCAGAAGGACAAACATTGTATGAGCCCATTACTATAAAAAGACAAAGAACAGTTTGCTTGGGAAAGGGAACTTACTTTGTAGGTGACCGAGGTGGGGAGGGAAGAGGAGGGATTAATCTGGGCTAGGTGGGGCCACACGCTGATGTGGGTAAGGAGAGGGATGTATGGAAAGAGTCTGTGATCACCATGATAATATTAGGAAAAGAGAGGACACTGAATTGTGAACATAGGAGATAGAGGGCAGATGCTAATATCAACCAGTGTGCCCACAATACTGCATTACCATTAATACCAAACACCAGGCTACAGATAAACACATAAATACCTGAGAGGATCAGATGGGGGTCAATGAACAGGAGTATACTCTAGACCAAGGATAGATTCAGTGCAGGCTAATCTTGCACAGATAACAGTGATACAAAATACCTGCAATTCTTATGTTGTTGTTATGTGCCGCCCTGACTCATAGCGACCCCTCCTTGGGTTTCCGAGGCAGTATCACTACGGAAGTAGGATTGCCCAACCTTCCTTCCGAGGAGTGGCTGATGGGTTTGAACCGCCAGCCCTCTGGTTAGCAGTCAAGTGCCTTAGCCACTATGCTACCAGAGCTCTTATAGAAACAATAAAAGACAGACATAGAGTAATCCCTCACAGACACCCAGACACTGTGGGAGAAAGATCCAATGGATATACTGTCTCAGGACCATAGTACTGGGGGACACCAGACTCAATCAGCACAACAAAATACACAAAAGCCTTGTTCCTCATCTTACATTGGTGAGTAGCGACTGGGGTCTTAAAAGCTTTCAAGCAGCCATCTAAGATGCAGCTAATGGTCTCCTATAGTTGGAAGCAAAGAAGAGTGCAAAAAAAAAAAAAAGGGCATTTGGAAGTAATCAGCCCTAGGACACGATGGCCCTCAAGACCAGAAGAACTAGATGGTACCCAGCTACCAGTGCCAATCACTCATGAAAGGATCAAATCTGGAGATCCTGGATAGAGTGGGAGGAAGAATGTGGAACAAAATCCAAAAACTCAATAATGACCAGAATTACTGGTCGAATGGAATCTAGTGAGACCCCAATACTATCTATGGTCATGGGATACATTCTGGGCCTGGAATAAAGCTCACTCCCAAGGGCTGGCCCTAGTAAACAAGATAAGCTGCAAACAACTCAACCCAGGGTGACACACCCACATACTCTATGGAAATGTATCCCTTGGAGCAATCGACCATGGGGCACCAGAGGGGCAAGATTCACATGGAAGAAATGCAGGACAAACATGAGTACATAACTATGAGGGGCATGGGGAGCGGGGAGGGTTACCGGGCGGCGAAGAGAGGAAACTGGGTTAGGTTTGGGCATGGTAAGTGGGGAGCGAAATGAAATGTAAATGTAATGTTGAACGTAAAACAAACTCTTAAAATAAATTTTTTTTTAAAAAAATTAAATGCTTAAAACAAACAAATTTTTTTAAAAAAGTTTCCATTCAAAATCTATAAATTACCCCTACAAACTACCATGTATATTTCCAATATACATGATAGTTCAGTATTCTTACATGAAAGGAATTCTTTTAAATCAATATATATATTAAAAAGAAATCTCAACACAAAAATATGCAAAGGGCAAGAAAAAGTAATTCACAAGAGAAGAAAAAGTCAATAAACATTTGAAAAGTTTCAACTTTTAGTAATAAAAATTAAGTGTGGAAATAACAAGATATCACTAAACTATCAAATTGTCAAAGTTAAAAATATTAATAATAATAGTGTTGGCTAGAGCACATAGAGGAGCTCTGGTGGCGCAGTGCCTAAGGCTTTTTTGTCTGCTAACCAGAAGGATGGCAGTTCAAACCCACTGGCCACTCCTCGGAAGGAAGTTTGGGCAATCTACTTCTGTAGAGATACTTCCTTGGAAACCTAGGAAGGGTCGCTATAAGTTGAAACTGACTCCACAGCAGTGAGTTTGGGTTTTTTTGGTTAGAGTACACAGAAATTCCTACTGAGAGTATAAACTTGTATTACTTTTTTGTAGGGCAATACAGCATAACCTTTAACCCAGCACTTCCAATTCTAGAAAGACACTGAAAGGAAATCACCCTAGATATAATTACAAAAATATAAGTAAGAGAACATTGATAACTTTTTATTTAAAAAGAATAAAAACTGGGAAACATCATAAACAAGTACTGAATAAATAACTCAGGGTCTATTCCACATTGTAGAAAAGTTGTTGTTGTTATGTGCCGTTGAGTTGGATCCAACTCCTAGTGACCCCTTCTTGGGTTTCCGTGGCATTATCACTACGCAAGCAGATTGCCCAACCTTCCTTCCGAGGAGTGGCTGGTGGGTTTGAACCGCCAGCCTTGTGGTTAGCAGTCAAGTGCCTCAGGCACTCTGCTACCATTATTTATCATTTTGGGATAATGTTCACAAAATACCGATAGAAGTTTAAAATAGTATACAAGAGGGTTTTTTTTCTTTTAAATCCTATCTATTGTTCATCCATCTACAATTCCGTGTTTAGTCTTTAACAGGAAAAAAAAACCTTGTTTTTAAAGGCGAACACTTCATTCTGTCATTGAAGAGAGTATATTTTCCATATAACAAAATAGTATTTCAGGTCATACTCAAAAAGCAAAATTAAAGCACTCAGGCATTTGAGATTCCCAAAGACACACGCATAAAACAATGCACAATACCAGGCTAAGCCACACCAAAGATGACAGTCACAGTGGCAGCAGCTTTCCATTGGCTTTCCTGATTCTCCATACCTGTGATGGTGTTCACAACTGTCCGAAGGATAGTGGGAGGCTTTATCAGTTCTTTAAGGATGTTTGACTCTGTAGCCAGTGGAAACCCATTATCAAGCATCTCTTCCAACACCTCATAAACCACAACAACATTGTCTTTGATCACTGGCTCTGAACAGACTCCAAAATAATCCTGATGAAGACAGAATACATACATTTATCCCTCAGAGACTGTAAGAAGTCAAAGAATGCTCCTAGAAAATAAGGATCTGCTCCTGCCCCTGTGGTTTCATGCAGTGCTTCTGGGGCACTTTTCTACAATAAGGAAATGAAGCATAACCATAGTTTTCTCAAGTAGAAAAAATATAGGACTACGAACTAGAAAACATGGTTTATAGTACTGGTGTCATTATTTTATAAACTAAAGGAAGTCATTTAACTTCTTTGGGCCAGTTTCCTCAACTTGACAAAATATAGAGAATACAAAATTGAATCTAGACTATTATACATGCTTATCAACAAGAATTTGAAAGAAATATCCAAAAAAGTAACACTTAATGTGACACAGAATTGCACATGAAAATCTTCTTAACCCTTACTGTTGTGCTATTCCTTAGCATTCGTGCAGTGAATAAGAACTGAGAAAAAAGAAAGTAATAAAATGAAGAGGTTGAGCTAGCACACAAGAAAATCTCTTCAGATCATCCCTACTCTATGACCTAAGATTATAAGAACTCTGCCATTTTATGAACAAAGGCTACATTTGGATATCAAATTATCTAGGTTATAGAAAAATCCCTAGATTCTAAATCAGAAGACCTGAGTTGTAATTTTAATTGTCATTTACTAGTCATGTAAATGTCATTTACTAGTCATGTTAACTAATCTGAGTCTTAATCAGGATAACACCATTGGACTTGCAGGGTTGTTGTCAATATGACTGATTAATGACAACATGTGTGGCAATGCTTTGTGAACTATAAAGCACTAGGTAGCATGTAATGCATGGTGATGATAATGACTTAGAAAAACATGTCTGCAGTCATTTAGCACACTCTCTATCAATATCAATCATGTCTTTTACAGGACCTCTGAGAGATGGTCATGTAACCCTCCTTTAATTCATCATAAAAAGTGGTTTGAGAAAGCCCATTTTATTCACGGACAGTTCTGATTATTAGAAAGTTCTTTCTTTTATTAAGCTGCAACTTGTCTCCCAGATCTGCCTTACAGAACAAGTTTACATAACAGTTTCTCAGTTATTTGAAGACAACAAGCTTTCACTTCATTTATTTGTTCTCAGGGCTAACCTCCCAAGAACCTTCCACTGCTGATGTTGTGGATGGTTTCCAGATAGTTTTACCATCTTGCCATGTCTTTACTATGCCTTAGTTTGTTCACTATTCTCCTTAAATTATGGCATCTGAAACTGAAGAAAGACACCAGATATGTTCCAAGTTACATCAAATGTCAATGATCAAAAAGATTCCAATACCCAAGAGCATTTAGTTAGGAGTCAGGAATGTTTCTAAAACAAAAAACTTCTTCTTAAAAAAAATGAAGATTTAAAAGGAAAAAAAAGTCACACATTTCCTTCCCAAAGGTGACTTTACTTTAAAAAGTAAACAGAACATCTTGCTCAATTTTTAAACCAGGTTGAATGTGAACTGAATGATAAGAAAGGCAAGTATGGTAAAGTGCTACAGCGAAAGTGCTTGCAATACTATAGCTAGAGTTCTTCTGTCATATTCTAGTACAAGAAAAATAATGCCATCAGCGAGGGTATATATCAGATAAGACATTAAAATCATTTACTTTTAAAAAATGCTTCAAAGACAACAAGGTCTGAAGTCCCAGGCTTTCAAACCAGCAACTTTATTACTCTGCTTGCCCAAATTCCTCAGTGGTTTCAACTAGATTAAACATCTTCTCTCACACTTACTGTTTTGTAATAAGTTACATAATATTTCTGTGGTGATATGAAGCAGCTGTTACATTTCACCAAAGGGACTGTTAATATTAAACTGGGGTAAAGTATCATCCATAGAAATCATAAGCAGGCACAGTGAGGGTAGCTTAATATTAGAATGACTGGATTCTCCATTTCTAGTCCCTTACTGGGACTTTTCTTTTGCTTTTTAGATTTTCAGTGTGGGAAGGAGTTAGGATGCCACATGAGTATGGGAATTCCAGAAGAATAGCATCATTACAGAGCATTTGTAGGAAAAACTCACAAAATATATTTTGGTTCTCTTCAGATGAAGGCACTCTAGACATGACATAGACTTCAGTGCAGAAGAAAGCTGCACAATTTCTGCATTCATATGACTAATTTCAGACTTCACATGACATAGAAATTAAACCAAACGGCCCTTGCTTCTCATTTACCATGTGAATCATGCAAATAAACACAACAGTAAAAGTATGGGCCACATGAAGTCCATTTGGGGTCCTACTGCAAATGAGTTTTACCAGGGAGAGAAGAGTGGCTTGCTTGGAAGGGTGCCAGGAGGTGGGGCCAGCGTGGAGTTTGCACAACCACTCCTGCCACTGCCATGTGCCCTGCCCTGACACTCTGGGGAGACACTGTACTGGGGCCACTTTGCTTTGTCCCTTAGGGCTTCCAATTCTCACCAGCCTCCCCAGGGACTGCTCACAGAGTACAGTGCATCTAGAAGCAGCCAATTGCAGGTGCAAGTTTGCAAATCCTGAGGCTCTTCTGGGTGCTAATGGAGAGCCAGAGCAGCTTGCACAAGTTACTTTGTGAATCGAATGCACACAAACATATATACTATATATAATGTGGTGGCCCCACAACATCCAAATCACACAACTTCCTACTTCACAGAACGTATTATGGATGTTAAGTGATGCATACCTTTAATTCTTTCAGGGGAGGATGAAAATCCTGAATTTCCTGCCACACCCTCCCCTTCTTTTCCTGAATCTCAAAAAACTCACTGCCATCATGTTGGATCTGACTCACAGCGACCCCTCCTTGGGTTTCTGAGGCAGTATCTCTACAAAAGTAGATTGCCCAACCTTCCTTCCAGGAGTGGCTGGTGGGTTTGAACTGTCAGCCTTCTAGTTAGCAGTCAAATGCCTTAGGCACCACACCACCAGCGCTCCTTTCTTGAGTCTGTTGTTGTTGTTGTTATGTGCCGTCGAGTCGGCCCCGACTCATAGTGACCCCTCCTTGGGTTTCCGAGGCAGTATCACTACGGAAGTAGGATTGAACCACCAGCCTTCTGGTTAGCAGTCAAGTGCTTTAGCCACTATGCTACCAGAGCTCCTAGAGTCTAAGTAATCTAAACTCCTATGCTATAATTAGCAGACATTCTGATATAACTTACCTTCCCTCTGTCCTCCCCAACACACACACACAAATCTTCAAATCTATTCCCGAAAGGAAAACTCAAGATGAAAATTATACCTTGTAAATGTGACAAAGGGAGCCCCTAATGGCACAGTGACTAAGTGCTCAGCTGCTAACCTGAAAGTTGGAGGTTTAAACCCATCAGCCGCTCTGTGAGAGAAAGATGTGGCAGTCTGCTTTTAGAAAGATTACAGCCTTGGAAACCTTATAGGCCAATTCTACTCCGTCCTATAGGGTCACTATGAGTCAGAATTGACTCAATTGCAACAGGTTTGGTTTTGGCTTAAAATGTATCATTTAAATTCTTATAGGTAAAGATTTCCTAAGTTTATGTTTCAATGACAGCTGATCATTAGCACTCACATGCTATGGATAAGCACTCAAAACCCAAGATGAAGTATGGACAGTTAAAACAAACATTACTTAATTTTTTCTATTTCCTTTATAAAATTGTCCACATTTACCAATGTTCGATGAACTCAAAGCAACATAGTTAACAATAGTTAGCATCAAGTCCATTATTAAAGAGAAAATTGAAACTCTTCTAATTTGTGAATAAAAAGCCAGACTACTCCTATCTCCAAACTAAAAAGACTATACAGAATCACATCACATAGGCTGGTTTTGTTATGCAACAAATTCAAAAGCATTCAATTTGTCCTTTTAGATTCAACAGTTCAATAAATAGGAATAAGAATTTTATCAGCTGGAGAAGAGGTGAGCAATGGCAGAGTTTTGGTTTTTTAAAAAAGTTTCTACTTGGGCTGAATAAATGGACGTAGAACTATAAAGACACTTTATAGTTTATACATAGGAACCTCCCCACCTTCACGCACCTGAAATGTGTCCACAACTCGATGAAGGAACTCAATGACAAACAGAGGTGGGACCTCTGTCTGGATCACAGCCACAAAGAAGATCTTGTGGCGGTAAACACTTAAGAGATAGTGGTGAGGGGTAGGGATAACTGGAGGTACATTTTCTGCCTCAGTAGCTCTCTCTTGCGCTTCAAAAAAATAATCACAAACAGACCGGCTGACCACACTTTTCCAATGTTTCTCCAGGAAAATATCCCCAGAGGAGTTGATCAAGAAAAGGCTATGAATCATGATGGAGATTATCAATCAAAGAGGAAAACGTTTCTCAGTCTGAAAGCCTCGGGATTTTGCAAGATTTCAACCCTAAAAACAAAAGAAGCTGTGTTCAGTTCCATTCAACCAACACACTCTCCCCCTTCTTTTCCAGTAGTTTGGTCTTACTCATCTTTCAAAACTAGGCTCAAGGCTTTCTCTATTGCATGAGCCTAAAGTATCTCTTCCTTGAATTCTTATGATAATTGGTCATCTAGTTTGTCAATCAATCATACACTGAAAAGTTATCTTTATTATTGTCTGAATTATATCCACTTAAATACTAGTTGATCATTTAAGTGTTTATTTTCCCCTCAGCTGGGCTGGAAGTTCCTAGAGGAAAAGATAATTTGTAGTCTCACTGCACAGTGTCTCCTTCCATACAGGTGGGCTTCAAAGAACTGGTAAGATTTTGTGGTATGGCCACAACTCTCACAGGTACAAGAAATGTTTATAGGTAAGTAGTCCAAAATGGTAGTTGCTAGCCCCTTGGGGACATTGAAAAGTTGAAACTTGGCTGATCCAACTGACATGTAAGTGTGACCAGACCCTGAAGGCTTTGTACAAAGAAAATAATTTAAAATTTCTAATACTTTAAATTGATTACCCGTTATAATAATATTTTGGGTATGTTGGGTTAAACAAATATATTTAACCTGTTTTACTTTTAATATGACTACCAGGAAATAAAAAATTATTTATGTGGTTTGCTTTACAATTCCACTAGAAATAGCAATACAAAAATGGGTCTATATAGAAACTGTTATTGTGGGCTTTATCCATTTAGTCAGATCCCATTCACTGAGCACTTTATGCACATGGCTTCGCGCTGGCTGCTTTTTAAAAATCATTCCCTTAGGCGGCGGCGTGTCTAAGGTGCCAGTCCCTGAGAGTGGGCAGCCGCGCTGGACCCCAGCTGTGGCCATTTTGCGAACTGGTCAAACCGCAAAGGCCTATTGTGTCAAGTGCAGCAGAACGAGCTTAATTCCTCTGCTCGTGCAAGCTATGGTAGGAGGAAGTGAAAGCGGAGGATAGGTATGATGTGGAGATGAGGTAGATTCCCAAGTGGGTTATGTCTGCGCTGGTCGCCTAGCTCCTAGCCAACCAGAGATGATGGAGGCCATTTGCGGCGGGGGTGAGTAGGGGGCGGGTTCAAAGTGCGCGAAGGTGAGGAGGGAGAGAAGGGTGGGAACGCAGAGGCAAAGGGCACTTTCCGCTTATGTGTTGCTATGGCAACAGTGTCCTCGCCAACCCCAGCCTTGGGGCCAGAGCAAGCCACAACCCCGAACTCGTACTAGGTCCTTCACTTCTCCCCGCCGCACTGTGCAGTTCAGAGGGTCTGTCTAGCAGCATCCCGTGACCTGACCCGTCCCGCGTGCCCTCGCCCAGGACCCCGCCCAGGATCCCGCGCATCCCCTCAGCTCCAGCCTCCGGCCTGCTATGACCACACACTGCCCCCGCCTCGGCCCCGAGTAGCCAGCCCCTCACCCGGCTTCGCTCCTTACAGCGCCGACAGCTCAGCCGCGCGGACAAGCCCCGCCCCGCCCGCCTGCCTTGCTCTCCCAGAGCCACGGCCGCCGCCCGCCCGCTGATTGGCCAGCCCGCTGGCCTCGCGTCCGCACCGCCCCCACTGAGGCCTGAAGGTCCCTAATTGGGCGTCGGTGATCTGCTCCTCCTCTCTGATAGATGCTGACCGCGGCTCACCCCGTTCTTGAGCTCGAGCCCCCAATTGGCCTTTGTTGAGGCTCTGGTGATTTCTGATTGGTGCATCCCTGTAGCTCTGAGTCCTGATTGGCGACCGACGACCGCCTGCAGGCCTCCCTGGCTTACAGTCACCCAGTCACAAGGGCTGGGCGGCCGTGGCTGCTACCTGCACAACCGCAGGGTGCTTCCCTGGAGTGCTGTACGAGGAGCCCAAAAAGTGTGTGAGTGTAGGGGTTGGGAAAGAATTTCCACTGCACGATTTATTTATAAGCAGTAATACTGCCCTCCATTAGATAACTTCATTTAAAAATAAGGCCTTTTGTGTTCTGGACACTGTAAATTACAAATGATTGGCTCTGTTGTGTCTTATGGAGACCCCTTCCAGCACCAATTGCACTACCACATGCTTGACCTTGGGCAAGGCATTTTATCTTTCAGAATCTCAGTTTCCTCATCATAAAATGAAGAGATTTAACCAGTCTTTCTCCAAATTGTCTTGGCGCACTAGCTCACTGGCGCAGAGTTGGAGCCGACCCACAGTGATCCCTCCTTGGATTTCCAAGGCAGTATCACTACGGAAGTAGCTTGCCCCATCTTCCTTCCCAGGAATGGCTGGTGGGTTTGAACTGCCAGCCTTCTGGTTAGCAGTCAAATGCCTTAGGTACTACGCCACTAGAACATTAATAATGGCTGTAATAATGCTATTTTTTGCATTAGTGGTTCAATCATTGTGATCCAGAAAAGCATGGAGTAGAAGTAAGAGGACAAGATTCCACTTTTTTTAATCTAAAAATTAGGTAATAAGTGAAATGAAGTGTGAAATGTGTTTGGCCTGGTGGCTGGCACATTGTAGGTGCTTAGTAAAATGGTAAACTGTGTTGATGATGGCAATAGTATCCACCTAGAAGAAGCTGGCGGTTCAAACCCACCAGCCACTCCTCGGAAGGAAGGTTGGGCAATCCTACTTCCGTAGCGATACTGCCTCGGAAACCCAAGGAGGGGTCACTATGAGTCGGGGCCGACTCAATGGCACATAACAACAACAACAACAGAAGAAGCAAGTATAGCCCTCCCTGGGTTTTAGTTTCACTCTGGTAAAAGGAAGCAACATGGGCCACTTCCCCATACACAGGACCATGATACGTGTTTGTTGAAAATGGTCTGACCATAGTCTTGGGGTCAACTTAATTGGCATAACATAGTTCATAAAGATAATGTTCTACACCCTAGTTTGATGAGTAGCATTTGGGTTCTTAAGAGTTTGCTGTTGTTGTTATTATGTGCTGTTGAGTCGGACCTGACTCATAGTGATCCCTCCTTGGGTTTCCGAGGCAGTATCACTACGGAAGTAGATTGCCCCATCTTCCTTCCAAGGAGTGACTGGTGGGTTTGAACCGCCAGCCTTCTGGCTAGCAGCCATCTAAGATAGCAAAAGAGAATGAAGGAAGCCAAAGGCTTAAAGAGGGAACTAGTCCATGGGTCTAAAAGCCCACCTGAACCAGGCCCCCTTTTAACCTGAGTGCAGAAGAACTAGATGGTATACAGTTACCACTACCGACCTTTCTGACTAGGGACATGATAGAAGGTCCTGGACAGTGTTTTGGTTACCTAGTGCTGCTCTAACAGAACTATACTACCAATGAATGGCTTTAACAAACAGGAGTTTATTCTTTCTCAGTTTTGGAGGCTAGAAGTTCGAGTTTCAAGTGCCAGGCTCTGGGGGCTGGGTGAAAGCCCCTAGGCCTTGGGCTTCAGCTTTGTCTCTTGCATCTGGCCCACTGAATCTAGAGGCGTCTGTCCACTCAGGCAGCTACTGGCTGCTGAGGCTAAGAAGCCCAAGGTTGACAAATAAAATGGCATAGTCCTGATATCACCAAACCACACGGCAGGCCATTGATTCAAGTCCATTAAAAATCCCAAGATTGGCAGAACCTGGCAAGCTACTGAATGAAGACTCAGCTACATACAGGGTCCAAGTGTGCCAAAAAGCTATAGACCATTCCCAAAGCGTTTTCTTATATACAGGAAGTAGACTACATCCTAAAGCAGACCACATCCTAAAGCAGCTATTCAGCTGCTCATTCATGGCACATTCCACCATGGAGTTGATTGCCAGTCTCACCATGGGGAATAACTACCACCAGCTGCCCAGCCACTCAAAACCAGGTCCAACCAAGTTGACCCATAATCTGACTACCACCACAGACAGAATGGGAGGAAAATGTGGAACAAATTTCAACTTCCTGAAAAAGGCCAGACCTACTGGAATGATAGATATTAGAAAAACCCCCAAAAGGGTATCTCCCTAAATACCCTTTGAACTTAAGACTGAATATATTTCTGGTGGTCACTTTTGAGCCAAGTAATAGATTGGCTTATAAGATACACAATGTCATCTGTGAGTAATGTGCTCCCTTGAACTACATGAGACCAAATAGTCAACATTTACCCAAAAGCAAAGATGAGAAGGCAAGGAGGGGAAGGGAAGCTGGGTCGATGGAAACAGAACAAACAGAATGGAAATAATGAAAATGCTGAACAATGTGAAAATTGTAACCAATGTCACAGATCAATTTGTGTAAAAATTGTTAAATGGAAATCTAATTTGCTGTGTAAACTTTTACCTAAAACACAATAAAATATTTAATTAAAAAAAAATGGTCTGCGAGTAGTTGAACCTGCGGGCTTGGGACCATAGTCGCTGGCGACATCAAGCTCAATTGGCATAACATACTATATAAAACATTGTTCCACCTCCTACTTTGGCAAGTAGCAACTGGGATCTTAAAAGCCAGCAAGCTGCCATCTAGATGCAATGATGGGTCTCTCCTCGTCCAGAGCAAAGAATGAAGAAAACCACAATTCATGGAAACAATTAGTCCTAGCGACTGGTACACCATCCAATCTGCAGCCTGTACGACCATGAGACCAGAAGAACTAGATGGTGCCTGGCTACCACTGTCATCCACTTGGAAGGGGATCTGTGTAGCAGATCCTTGATAGAGAGGGAGAACAATGTGGAACAAAACTCAAAATCATTTGGAGAAAAAAAAAAAGGGGGGGGTGACCAGGTTTGCTGGTCCGATAGAGCCTGGTGGAACCATTGAGACTATGGCCCCTAGCTGCCCTTCAGGTCTGGAATTGAACCCACACCTGTGGTTTCCAGCCAAACAGAAGAGAAGCTTATGAGTTGAACATTTTCCTGAGGTAGATACCCTCCTTGGAGAGAACAATCATGGGAGAAAGAAGGGCTGCCTATGCACAGGGAGACAGCTCAGGGGGCAGGAGTCCATGGAGGGATGGACACTGGGAAGAGGTAACTATGGGGAGGAAGTGGAAGGGGAGCTGTTGCATTGTGGTAAACGTGGTCAATGTCATGAAACAAAGCATATGTAAACTGCTGTATGGAAAGTGAATTTGCTCTGTAAATCTTCACCCTAATCACAATTTAAAAATATGGTCTGAATTGTTCCTTGCCATACTT